TTGCCTCTGCTGTGGGAGCTGGGTGATCTGTCCCACATGCAGGCTGCCAAGCCCAGCTTGCAGGTGGAACCTCTCAGACACCTTTGCAAGGTGAGCCAACCTGGAATTGGATCTGCACAGAGTTGTCACCCCTCCGCCTCCTGCTCTGCAGATTGCTCGGCTTCGAGAAGAGGGTTCCCGTCAGTTGGAAGAGCAGCAAAGGCTGATCCAGGAGCAGATCCGTCAGGACCGAGAACAGAGGCTGAGAGGTGAGAGTGCATGCTCCATGTCTCCTCCAGGGCGAGTGCATCTCATGGTATTGGGTAGCCATGTTGGCTGCTTCACGGTGTGCCTATGGAGGTTCCACTGACCAGAACCCTGTGAATACCCCATGGTGTTCGCAGTATCCCTCTGAGGCACACCAATTTGTAGGATCCTTTGTGCTTTTTACAGGTCTCGGTCCCAGAACAGATCTTGAGGGAAAATGTTGATGCTATTTGTTTTGCTATTTTATTGGGTTCTTATACCTGCCACCCTTCCCAACCTAAACCCCGCAACACTAGCTAAGAGAGAGAGAAGGTTAGAGGGGAGAGGGGCGGAGTCCTCTATAGGCTACTTCCTGCTGATTACAAACACTGGGTTCCTTGGGGCAAGGCTAATCGTCCTCATTAGGATACTTCCAACTTTTTGTCAAACCACAACAACCAGGAGCAGCAGGGGGAGCAGCAGCCTCCATCTCAGGCGCTCTGGGGCTCTCCCATTTGTACCTTCTCCAGACTCCCCAGAATTAAACTATCTGCAGCTGGCAAAAATCTTGTTCCTCATAGTACACTAGGCAAGTCATAATCACCTGCTGTGAAGCAGCCACTTGCCCTGCACCTGGGATTAAAACAAAAGCATATTCACATACCATCACTGGGTTTATAAAGAAACCAAAATTCTCACTACAGTTCCCCCTTTTAGTCCAACAAACCTTTTCTCTAATATCAATAAACTATATACAATAAGAACGATTATGAGAGCTATCAGGTAAAAATGATATTTACAATGCCCAGTCCGTATTTATTTGGCAACCTTGGACTATCTGTCCTACCCTGATGAGTCCAAAGTTTTGTACCTAAATCACTTTCTTATAATTTGGCATTTGCTGCCTTTAAAACATTTTTTTAGACCCTAAAGCATTTTATTAGATCCTAAACAACTAGTTTTTATGTCTTTCGTCTTTAATAAGGAAAACTTTAAGACTATAACTATCAAGTCTTCAGCCCCATTGGTGACCTGAGAAGGATAGCTATTACCTGAGTAAACAGGAAGTGCAGAGCAAGCAGCTTTCAATATGATAGACAGGACAGAGACAGCTAGCTGGCTGTCTGGACAGTCACCCAAGGTTCTTCTGTATCATTGGGACATCTAATCTTTGGCCTACAAGCGCAGAATATCTGACAGAGTTTTCTGACAGAGTTGAAGGACTGGCCTACCTTGTCTCTGCAAAGTTAGGCAGTCAACTTTCCAGTGTCCTGCTTGTCCACAGTTTGGATAGAATGCTGTCAGCAGTTGAAGTAAGGGCAGTTTTTTTGCCCAGTGGCCATCTTTGCCACAAATGAAGCAAACTCCAGGTGGAGATTCTTTCATGCCCGTTATCTTCTTTGAAAGAATCTTCCTGGGTGCTGCCAGGAGCAGATGTGTCTCTGTCAGAAAAGCCTTTTATTATCAAAACATCTTAAATGCCATGTTCTGTAGATCTCTGAAGTGTTTCAAGACTATCTATCTATCTATCTATCTATCTATCTATCTATCTATCTATCTA